GTGGTGCTGGGGATTGAACCCAGGGCCTGGTGCATGTGAGGCAAGCTCTCCACCGACTGAGCTCTACCCATCTGTTCTCCTGTGCCATCTTCTCTTCCTGACCTTCTGGTTTTTCTTGGGGATTCTCTATCCTGTCATCCCTGCTTTTCTTTGTGGTACCAGGGATTGAAGCCATGGGTGCTACATCCCAGACATTTTTTTATGTTTTATCTAGAGACAGGGTCTCACTGAGTTGCTTAGGGCCTGGCTCAGGTGCTGAGGCTGGCTTTCAACTCTCCTGCCTCCTGCCTCAGCCTCCCGAGCAGCTGGGGTGACAGCTGTGGCCACTGCACCCGGCCCCTCTGCTTTTCTTAAGGGGCTTTTGTCTCTCCCTCTTTTCTCATTCTTGTCTCTCTATTTCCATCTTCCTCTTTTGTCGAGCTGATGCTACTTTAAAAGATCAAAAGGCAAAAGGAAGCAGAGGAGGTCGGATGGAGGAAGGGAGAGAGGCTGAGGAAGGCTGGGCCCTGGCCTGGGGCTGACAGAGGGGATGGGGCCGTGGGGTGGAGGACAGCCAACTGCTAGGGAAGAGGGGAGGAAGGCCAGAGCCCAGGGAGTCTGAGGCCCCATGTAGTCAGGGTGTGGCTGCTGCTGAGCCACTGTGGTCCTCAGTCCTGGCCAGGGCCAGCTGGCAGGGACTGAGTAGACAGCTCCCCCACTGGAATTGCGCTGGCCAAGTTGAATCCTGACCCCAGGTGTAGAGAGGGGCTAGGGAATGGCCAGTTTGGGAACCCCATGGTGGCCTGCGTAGGGGTAAAGTGGTGAGGAGGCCCAGGCCCTCTGATGCCGGGCCGTGCACTTGGGATTTTGTAAGAGGATCATGGAGACAGACCTCAGAGGGTTTTGAAAAAGTCTCAGTATTACAAAGATCTCTCTGAATCCAAGGCCTGCAAGGGGACTAAGGGCCCAGTGTGACCAGGTGGCGGCCCTAGGAGCAACTGGGGGGTGGGGTCTCTGCTCCCCTGGGGCCCCGCCCCCTGACATCACTGTCACATTATTGCACCAGGCCTGGCAGACCAATAGGCTGCTGCTTGCTATTACAATGGGTCCTAGCAACTGGGCCTGATCGGGTAACAGGGGAGGAGAGCACACCAGCAGCGGGGAGAGTGTGAGGGGAGAGGGAGGGAGCGCCTGCAGGGCAGGCAGGTGAGTCTCCAGGGCAGGGCTCTGTGTCTCCAGGGCTGGGCCTGTGGGGGTGGGCCTGCCCTAGGCAGGGGCTGGGGAGGTCCCAATCTTAACCCCTTCAGCTTTAATTTCAGCCCCACAGCCACAGACTTGTCTGCCTCTCGCTGCTAGGACCTGCTAGGACCGGTCCCAGGCTCCCACCATCCCCTCCCCAGGTGGGTCCCACCTTGAGGTGGGTTAGGGAGAAGACACAGGATGGGGTGGGCAGAGCTCGGTGGGGGGCAATGCACCTACCCAGCTACGGGGATGGGACCCGGTAGGAACAATGTAATATGGGTGAATTTCTGCAGGGGTGAGAGAGGTCAGCAGAGGACAGGGCTGGGGAATGGGGGGCACAAGATGGGGGAAGGGTGGGCAGGGCAAGGAGACCAGGAGGGAGACCACGGCATGTGGCCTAACAGAGCAGCTCTTCAGTAGAGCAGAGGAGGCCTGGGGTCTGGGTTGGAGTCCTGGCTGTGCCTCTGGGTGGGAAGAGGACACCTGTTTTGTCTGAGCCTCAGCCCCTCTCCCTGTGGGGGGTGGGGACGATCCCAGATGTGAGCATCTCTCGCGGCTCTCTGAAGAGTCCATTTATTTTAGAGACGATGGGCCCGGAGGTAGAGTGGATGGGAAGCAGGGCCAGGGAGGCACCAAGGTGGGAAGAAGAGGGCCATTTGTGAAGGCTCCAGAAGGTGGGAGGACACGGAGGCCCAGGAGGCCAGGGGGCCCCCAGAGCAAGGCCAGCCGAGGCCAGGCTAGGATTGAGAAGGACTCCCTGTGCCTGGCTTCTTCCAGGAGCCGAACCAAGAATATCTTCCACTTTGGCCCAGGTTAGGGGAAGGAGGCTCAGTTGTCCCGCCAGCCCTGGGAGGTGTGCAGAATTAGCCCCCACGGCACAGGGGCTGAGGCTCAGGAGGGCAGGGACGAGGCTAGCCATAGGACTGATAACAGCCGTGACGATGCTAATGACAGAGCACCTGTGGTGTGCGGGGCGCTGTTTTAAATGTCATAGTCCATTTAATTCTCAACAATCCCAGGAGCTGATTTGCCATTATTATGCTTATTATCCACATCACACAGAGGAGAGTGAGGCCGAGGGAAGGAACTTGCCCCTCACTCAGCAAGCAGAGGCTCTGCTCTGGGTCTGAGCCCCATTCAAGGTCATTTCCTGCTGCTTCCCAATAACTGTGACAGGACTGCAGATGATCTCTGGGCCCGCGCCAGGGCGGGGATCTGGGCTTAAGCCCTTTCTGGTGAAGGCTTGGCTAGGTTATGTGTGAGGCCCAGACCAAAACAAAACTGCAGGGCCCCTGGTTCAAACGTTATGAAGAATTTCAGCCAGTGTCAGCAGGGATGAAACCTGAGAGCACCTCAGGAGGCAGCTTGGTAGATCATGTCCATGACCCAGAAAAGTAAACAGGCACAGAGAGGTGCTTCATTTTGCCTCAGGTCCCACAGCAAGTTAATGACAGAGAACCTGGGCCTCAGAGGCTCCAAAGTCCCCTCAATAATGCCAAAAGACACCCCGGGTTATTGAGAAAGCAGCTTTGGGGTCCAGGACTCCCTTCCCATGCTCAGTGTGGCTCTCCCTGACTCCTGCCAAAGCCCACGAGGTGTGACCAGCTCCCTTCTCCTCTGCAGACGCCGAGGATCACGTGATTCTCCCCCGTCCCCTGGCGCACTCTGAACCACTGGTCACCATGGCTACTTCCAAGTTGCCCTCAGCGCCCGGGGAGGAGGAGACCACCATTCTCATGGCCAAGGAGGAGCTGGAGGCCCTGCGCACAGCCTTCGAGTCTGGCGACATTCCCCAGGCCGCCTCTCGCCTTCGAGAGCTGCTGGCCGCCTCGGAGAGCACCCGGCTGGAGGTGGGCGTCACGGGGGAATCGGGAGCTGGCAAGTCGTCCCTCATCAATGCCCTGCGCGGCCTGGGGGCCGAGGACCCAGGCGCAGCTCTCACGGGTGTCGTGGAAACCACAATGCAACCCTCGCCCTACCCGCACCCACAGTTTCCTGATGTGACCCTGTGGGACCTGCCAGGGGCCGGCTCTCCGGGCTGCCCGGCTGACAAGTACCTGAAGCAGGTGGACTTTGGCCGCTATGACTTCTTCCTGCTGGTCTCCCCCCGCCGCTGCGGGGCCGTGGAGACCCGCCTGGCCGCGGAGATCCTGCGCCAGGGCAAGAAGTTCTACTTCGTGCGCACCAAGGTGGACGAAGACCTGGCGGCCACCCGCACCCAGCGACCCTCAGGCTTCAGCGAAGCTGCCGTCCTGCAGGAGATCCGGGAGCACTGTGCCGAGCGGCTGCGGGCGGCTGGAGTGGCCGAACCCCGCATCTTCCTGGTGTCGAACCTCTCGCCATCCCGCTATGACTTCCCGATGCTCATGTCCACCTGGGAGCACGACCTGCCCGCCCACCGGCGCCACGCCGGCCTGCTGTCCCTGCCCGATATCTCCCTGGAGGCTCTGCAGAAAAAGAAGGACATGCTCCAGGAGCAAGTGCTCAAGACTGCCCTGGTGTCGGGGGTCATCCAGGCCCTGCCGGTCCCCGGACTGGCCGCCGCCTACGATGACGCGCTGCTCATCCGCTCGCTGCGCGGCTACCACCGCAGCTTCGGCCTGGACGACGACTCGCTGGCCAAGCTGGCCGAGCAGGTGGGTAAGCAGGCGGGGGACCTGCGCTCGGTCATCCGCTCCCCACTGGCCAACGAGGTCTCACCCGAGACGGTCCTGCGGCTCTATTCTCAGTCGTCAGATGGCGCCATGCGGGTGGCCCGTGCCTTTGAGAAGGGCATCCCTGTGTTCGGGACACTGGTGGCTGGTGGCATCAGCTTTGGAACCGTCTACACCATGCTCCAGGGCTGCCTCAATGAGATGGCCGAGGATGCCCAGCGGGTCCGCATCAAGGCCCTGGAGGAAGACGAGCCCCAGTCGGAGGTCAGCTTGGAGGCAGCTGGTGACAGTGGAGTGGAAAAGCGGGGATCCGGGGAGGGAAATGGCGAGGACGCCCCACTCTCAGCCCGCAGGAAGCTCGGCCTCCTTCTCAAGTACATTCTTGACAGCTGGAAGAAGCGTGATGTGTCTGAAGAAAAATAAAAGTGCAGCCCCACCCCTGCCTCACCCCCAGACCAAGTCTTAACAAAACCAGCCAACCAACCAAACAAGGCCAATGTGGTGAAACGAGACCTGCAGTTGCTGGGGGCTGGGGCGGGAGGCGAGGGGGGACTAGCACTTGCTGTCTAGGTGGGGGCGGGGTGTCGTGGACCGACAGGAGGGAGGCAGAGAGGCTGGCCCCAGTCTAAGAGGGAAATACTGAACCCCTGGCACAGAAATTGACCCTGGAGGCGGGGGGGAGGTGGAGGTTCTGATGGTGGGCCCAGGGTGCCTTGGTGTGGTGTCTGTCTCCCTGGCCCCCAAGTGGCCAAGGGGATTTGTGGGGTGGGACTGCACTGCCTGGTTCCAGGACAGAAGCCAACTGTCAATGGCTGTGGGTGGCTGAGAAGTGGCTGGGTCCTGCTAAGGTACTTAGTTATGTAGTGCTGGGGATTGAACTCAACCTGCACACTGAGCACATGCCTATCACTGAGGTACATCCCAGCCCCTGGCATGGACTTAGTTCAATCCCATGTCCCTTTCTGACAACCCCAGTATCTCAAAATCCACCTCTGGAGAGGCAGCCAATGGGTGCCTGGGATTGGCACAATGGTGCCTAGCAACCGATCAAACAGAGGTTGGGGACAGCAGGCATCCTAGGCCTGCCTAGCTGCCTAGGTATGACCTGGGCAGGGGTGGCAGGGAGAGGGAGGCCAGGTGGCCTTGAGGTTCTCCTCAGAATGGAGCTTGGGCAAGACCAAAGTGAGAGGGCCAGAGGATGGTCTCCATGAGCACCCAAAAAGCAAGCAGAGGCAAGAGCCCAACTCCATGCCCAGACCTGAGCCTCTTGCAGAAAGATAGCGGTCCATCTCTGAGTGTAAAAGCGTGTGTGTGGTGTGTCTGCAACTGGGAGGACTCTTATGGGGACTTACCACTCCTCTACAGTAGGCTGCGGAACAGAAATGCGGACTAGACTCCCTTTGGAGAGTCCCAGGGATGCCTGGCTGGGGTGGAGGGAAGGCGGCAGCCCCTGCCATGTTGGGGAAGCAGTTCCTGGGGAGCCGAGTCCTCTCCCAGGCTCTGCCCTTCACATGGGGCTGAGGAGGAAGGCTGGGCCAGGACCAGCCTTGGAGGTCACACTGGGGGAAAACCCTCCAGATTCTTGAAGCTCTCAAGAAGGCTCCGGAGACTGTGTGCAAGGCAGATGGCAGAGGGGGGACTTGGTGCAAGGAGGTGATCTCCTCCCTAGGTGCTGGCAGATAATTCTAGTCTCAAATTACCCCTAACTCTAGGAAAGAGTTCTAGATTGAGGGTCCAGTTTCTTCCTGGGGGATTTTGGGGGTGCCAGTTCCTACTGCTTTGCAATAGAACTCTCCTCTTCCTGGGAGGCCTCTGCCAGAACCACTTGGGGTTCACATGGGCTTTTCTGTATACAGAAAAGGAGGGGGTGGGGGAGGATCATGGTAGGGAAATCCCAGACCTTGAGATGCTCCCGGATCTGTGTTCCAGACCAGTCCACATCTTCACGCCCTGTGGACCCTCAGACATTATCCCAAATGCCTGGCATCCTGGCTCCATCTGGGATTTGGTTGGAAAGGTCAGGAATGAACACTGCATGCTCTCAACACGGGTTCCAAGGTTAAGAGGAACGGAGTAGGCTAGGCATGGTGGTGCATGCCTGTAATCCCAGCAACTCAGGAGGCCAAGGCAGGAGGATCTCAAGTTTGAGGCCAACCTCAATAGAAAGCAGGGGTGGAGAGGGGGCGTGTGCGCACACAAAAAATGGGACGTAGTTTTCTCTCTCTCCCGCTGCAGTCCCCTCAGCCAACTTGTTCCCATATCTGTGCCTTCCACTTCTCTCTCCCGCATCCCCATCCAGATACCCACAGTCCATTCTAGCTTAGGCTTTCCCCTCTCCACCCAGGTTCATCTCATTTAGATAAGGCCACAGAAGGGTCTTCCTCCCCTGCTCAAACCTTTTGTGGCAAATCACAGATCATCAAGCTGCCCAGCCCGACGTTCAAGGCCCTTTCCCAGATGGCCTCTACCTAACCCTCACCAGTAAGCAAAACTGAGTGGGCTCTGAGGAGTTGGCTGTGCATTTACAAGTGAGAACTGACACCTGCATTCTGTCCTAACCCTCACAGAAAGGGGACAAAGGTTGCAGTGGGTCAGGACCTGCCCAGTGTCACCCAGCAAGTCCCTGACATGGCAGGGACTAGATGCAGTCAAGCAGTCCCAGTATGTCTGCACTGGCTGTCCCCATCCACCATCCCAGTGAGGACACCAAGGCCCAGAGGCAGGACAGGGCTTGCCTAGCCATTCGCTGCGGTTACTGAGCAGATGCAGGTACTCAGAGGCCAGGCCGCGAGGGCGGGCCACGTTTCCACTAATGCACCAGATTCGCCAGGCGCTCTTCGGGTCTGCAGCACCCAAAGGTCTTGGCATGTAGAGGGTGTCCATGATCAGGGGTGTGGGAGTGATGTGGCAAAAGGACCCTGAAAGAGCTGGTTTATGTCCTGGCTCTGGAGGAGGCTGAAAGACATTTAGCAGGCGTTCTTCACCCTCCTGGGCCTTTTCCTCTTCGTGAAATAGGGACTTACTGAAATGATTCACGTGGTTAGAACAGGGACAGCACAGAGTAAATTGAATGACTATGAGCCTGATGAAGGTCCCAGCTCATCACTGCCTTATGATGTCACTCACAGTGCCTGGTGCATCGTAAACACAAACCAACAAACCCACAAAACCAAACATTTAAGTTTGAATTCTAGGATCAGAAGCCCTCAGATCCATTCCCATCACCCCACTCCCTAGCTGGCAGTCTTGGGCAAGTTATTCATCCTCTTGCTGCCAAACACGGATAGCAGAGAATCTTCTTTCCTAGGCTATTGTGAGCCAGGAGTATCTGGCAGTGACGAATAAATGTTAAAAAAAGCACTTAACCCGGCATATTGTTACTCTCCAGTACTATTACTGCTAAAGCCCCAAATGCTTTGGATATGGTTGTGATTCTACTTTTATGCTTTCTTTTTAGTTTGCTCTTGAGGTTTCTTTGAGAGTGGACTATGTCAGGATAGCCACCCTCTAAGAGGGCAAAGTCAGGTTCAAGTGTGTGTCAGGTGAGACTCAATGAGGAGGCGAAACCAAAATGCACAGAAATTTATTACAGAGAAGCTAATGAGAAGTCTGGAGAAGGCAGCCAGCAGGTGGGGAGCATGGGGAAGACAGAGGACCTGTGGACCGGCCCCAGCTGAGGTTCACAGGTGGTGTCCTCTGGTGTTGTGGGTTGGCTAGTTTAAAACAAGCTTGAAGAGCGAACTCATTTACACAACTCTGATGTTCCGCCCCTTGCAGGTGGTTTCAAGGACAGCTGCGGGGGGGGGGGGGGGACCTGTTGGGTTTTGGGTCAGTGGGATAAGGAACAAGTGGGCTCTCTCATAAATACAATGGAGGGGAAGTTTCACCAAGCCAGAGTGATAAGGTACAACTGAATTTCCAACAACTTCTGCAGGGCTAAAACCAGATGCAGAGGCAGCAGAATTGTCAGTAATAGGCATGCAGAGGCCTCTAGAGAGAGGGCAACCCAGAAAATACTACCTTACCTGTCCTACTGAAGGTCAAGTGCTGAAGACCAAGAACCAGGGGTCTGACAACCCCTGGCAAAGCTGAGCCAAGCCTCAGCCAGTTCAAGATATTAATGCTGTTGCCAGAGGAGGCCAGGGCTCTGAAGGCCTTCAAGATGGGAGCCTGCCAGCAGTCGCTGCCAAGTCGCAGTCACACTTCATTTGCTGGAGAGTCAGGCTCGACACCCGCTGAGATGACTCTGGCGAGCTGACCTTTCCAACACCACCTAGGGGCTGGGAAACCAAGACCCCTGCTCGGCATGCATGGGGTATGGTGGAAAGGACTGTGAAGCTGGCACTGTACCTGCTCCCCAAGTACCCCAAAGCCATCATCGAGGGCCTGCTGGGTACAATCACACCCTCCTGGAAGGCTGACAAGACAGTGGGTGGTGCTGGATGCACCTCAGAGCATCTCACTACATGTGTGACTAGCTAGCAAGATCCTGCAGCAGGTGACGATATGATTCTATACCTAGAAGACCCAAAAAGCTCCACCAGAAAACTTTTAGAACTAGTAAATGAATTCAGCAAAATAGCAGGTTATAAAATCAACACCCATAAATCAAAGGCGTTTTTGTATATCAGTGACAAATCCTCTGAGAAGGAAATGAGGAAAACTACCCATATACAATAACCTCAAAAAAAAAAAATACTCGGGAATCAATGAAAAAGGTGGAAGATCTAAACAATGAAAACTACAGAACCCTAAAGAAGTCAAAGAAGACCTTGGAAGATGGAAGGATCTACCTTGCTCTTGGATAGGCAGAATTAATATTATCAAAATGACCATACTACCAAAAGCACTATACAGATTTAGTGCAATTCCAATCAAAATCCAAATGGCATTCCTCATAGAAAAAGAAAAAGCAATCATGAAATTCATCTGGAAAAATAAGAGACCCAGAATAGCTAAAGCCATCCTTAGTAGGAAGAGTGAAGCAAGTGGAATCACTATACCAGACCTTAAACTATACTACAGAGCAATAGTAACAAAAACAGCATGGTATTGGCACCAAAAGAGGCTGGTAGACCAATGGTACAGAATAGAGGACACAGAGACAAACCCACATAATTACAGTTATCTTATATTAGACAAAGGTGCCAAAAACATACATCGGAGAAAAGATAGCCTCTTCAACAAATGGTGCTGGGAAAACTGGAAATCTATATACAACGAAATGAAATTAAACCCCTACCTCTCACCATGCACAAAACTCAAAATGCAGATGCTATGTTTTCAGAATTAAACCAGAGACTCTCCATCTAATAGAAGAAAAAGTAGGCCCTAATCTTCATCATATTGGATTAGGCCCCAACTTCCTTTATAAGACTCCTAATAGCACAAGAATTAAAACCAATAATCAATAAATGGGATGGACTCAAACTAAAAAATTTCTTCTCAGCAAAAGAAACAATCTGTGAGGTGAGTAGAGAGCCTACAT